GAGCAGGGTTGGGATTGGGTTATCCTACCTTAACCATAACCCTGACACAACCCTACCCTAACCCAACCCCCACCACAACCCATTTGCCACTTTTCAGAAGTCCGAAGCACTTCGGCACTTCTGGCATTCGGAAGCATCCGAATGTCCGAAATTTATCTGAATTTTCATTCGGACTGAACCGAATTGCACGTCTATTAGAATTCAGTCTATGTAAATAGGGCGCATTGTGCTTGTTCTAAATTACATTTTAGTTCCAATTTCATTTTTAGTAAGTCACCTAAAATTTCCAGTAACAGCCCAGCTCCTCACCACACCTGCACTCACACCCTTAAAATTAAAGGCATCCATCTTTGTCCATTTCCAAATGTTAGGAGGTATTTTATTCATAAAGCAACATTTTCTAATGCTGTACAATGGGTTCACAAGACATACAAATAGGTTCAAGGGAAAAGCTTGACTTATAGGAACAATACTTAGCCAGGCCCTGCTCTCCAGAGTTCACAATATAAATATTTATTTTTAGAGTTTGTGGCACTTGGAGGCTTTGGGTGAAATTTCTCTTGTTTGTATATTTCTTCTAATGGTTTTCAAGCAGTTTGCAAAAACAGGGCCCTACACTCACATCCAGCCGTTCTATTTCCACCTTGATAATTGGAAAGTTTCCCTTCTGCTTTATTTGTTGCAAGTTGGGACAGCGATAAACTGCAGTGGTTGTGGTTTTGTGAGTGCACATTTTGTTGGTATACTAAGCAGTTTCTGCTATATTTCTGTTTTGTTTCTTTAATGACAAAACCGCTTTACTTCACATTTCTTGTTTTCTAGGACACCACCTAAATTATGAATGCCATATATTGCAATGCTGAACCTTTCATGTGCTGACCAACAGAGGAATTGTAATATTTGTATCTGGCAACAGACTAGAAAATGTCACACCAAAACCTGCTCCAGACCTTGAGAGTTCTTTTACTCATGGCCTAAGAAGTGCAACACATCTGACAACAATGTGCAGAGTTGTCATTTGTTCAGTACTTTTGGGTTCTTAAGATGTAGAAATCAAAATGGACACTACATGTGTATTTCTGACCCTATTGTGCTAAAAACACAATTTTAAGTGGCCAGCACCCCTCAACCCCCTTCCTCCATTAAATTGGCATAAATCTTACCTTTATTCTGGCTCCGCCCTCGCCCCACTTCCTTGGTTGAGATAATTAGAATTGACGATATCAGCCAATCCAATGCTTTACCATAGGAAATGTGCACACGCAGCAAAACGCTGCACAGCCAATCAGACTCTCCTCATAGTAATGCATTGACTCAATACATCTCTATGATGAATGTTTAGCGCCTCCATGCAGAGCATTAAGACGCTAACGGTCAGTGCTGCACATTGTGCAGCACGGATCCAGGAAGCACCTCTAGGGGCCATCTGTGTGACTGCCACAAGAGGTGTCCCTAGGCAGCAAAGAAAAGGCAGTGTTTGTATGTAAATGATTGCAGGGATTGACTATAGACACTGTGACAAAGTGCCCTTCACCACTTGTGCCTGGAGAGGACTAATTGCCAGCCTCTTGCCTTGTGACTATAGCCCCTGGGAAGTATTGCCATTTAAAAAGTCTGTTTGGGCTTATTGGATTTTGGGACACTTTTTCTGCCCTTTTGAATCCATGGGAAGGTGTGCCTCTTCCCCTCCCCTGTTTCCTGTTTTTCTCCAGCAGGGCGTTGTCCCAGGGACACTGCCAGACCAGTTGAAACTGGCGGCTTTGTCCCTCCTTAAATCTCTCATCAGCCCTTGCTATTGTTTAACCCCATGGCGATTTGACTGTGTTCATGGGATCGGAGCGCTGTTCGGCTATATTGAGCGCTCAGATCCAAGCTGTGGGGGTTCAGTTCTATAGAATATTAGTAATGTATTTTAATGTGTTTTGTTGCAGTTGTAATGGAGTTTACTACAGTTACTTAAGCCAGTTATCTCCAGGATAGAGGAGAAAATAGACCGACCGCACAGCCCAAATCTATGGTACTCTTTTGGGCAGGAAAGCCATGCTTGCGGTCGGTCAAATAGGACTTCCACCTAACCTTTAAACCACTGGAGGGAATTGTATGATTTTTGAGTAAGTTTGTATATGGAGTCTGCTGATTCAGAATATGTATATATGGAGATTGTATGTATATTTTGGGAGTTATGAATATTGTATGTAACTGTATATTTTCCTGCCTGTGATAATTAAGTTAACCCATTGTGTACAGTAATTATATCACAGGCAGAGGGTAGGGTTTGTGTGTCCTAACTGGGAGTGTCTGACTGTATTGTATTGTGTTTGGTTGGCTGTTCCACAAGACCACGTGGGTGGTAACCTTGTGAGAAAAGTTGCATATAAGACAAACCCTCAGACTGTTGAGATTCCTGCTTAACCCTCAATACAGAGCCTCATCTCGTACTTGGGGGGGATTATTCGTGTGTTTTCCTATTCGGTGCTTAGGAGTATTCGGGAAGGGAACATCTTTGGCGGCGTTAACCCCTTCTATACCTGGGGTCAGTGGCGTACATACCAGGGTCGCAGGGGTCGCGGCTGCGACCGGGCCCTGCCCACCAGGGGGCCCGGCCGCCCCTGCGACCCGGTATGTACCCACAGAGCCAGCCTCTTCCCCTGGGGGGCCCAGGAGCTGGCCCTGCTGTCACACACACACTCTTGGGCGGGTGGCCGGTCGGGCAGGCAGGCGGGCGCGTGAGGGAGCACTTAGTGCTTCCTCTTCAGCTCCCTCGCGCACCGCACTGATGCCGGAGCCGGAAGAGGACGTCATCTTCCAGCGCCGGCATCCCTACGCGGTACGCGAGGGAGCTGAAGAGGAAGCACTGAGTGCTCCCTCGCGCGCGCCTGCCCGCCCGATCGGCCACCCGCCCAGGAGCCCAGCAGCACCACTGGACCCCAGGGAATGCCCCCCAGCACTCCAAAAGGTAAGGAGGCTGGGGGGATTACATTTAAAAAAAAAAAACAAAAGAGTGTTAGAGTGAGTGTTAGAGTGAGTCTGTTTGATGTCTGTTAGTGAGTGTGTGTTTGTCAATGAGAGTGTATGTTTTGTAAGTGAGTGTGTGAGTGTGTATGTATGTCTGTCGCTGAGTGTGTCTCTGTTAGCTAGTGTGTATACGTCTGTAAGTGAAAGTGTGTGTGTGTCTTCAGCACTTACCTTTCTCCAGCGCCGGACTCCCTTGGCGCTGGGGATCCCTCAGCCTCTCAATGAGACCACGCACGCATTCAAACCGCCCATAGGAAAGCATTACTCAATGCTTTCCTATGGACGTTCAGTGTGCTCCTCTAGCGGCTGTCAGTGAGACAGCTACTAGAGGCTGGATTAACCCTCAGTGAAACATAGCAGTTTCTCTGAAACTGCTATGTTTTCAGCTGCAGGGTTAAAACTAGAGGGAACTGACACCCAGACAACTTCATTGAGCTGATGTGATCTGGGTGTCTGTAGTGGTCCTTTAAAGGACCACTATAGTGCCAGGAAAACATACTCGTTTTCCTGGCACTATAGTGCCCTGAGGGTGCCCCACCCTCAGGGACCCCCTCCCGCCCGGCTCTGGAAAGGGGAAAAGGGGTAAAACTTACCTTTTTCCAGTGCTGGGCGGAGAGCTCTCCTCCTCCGATCCTCCTCTTCTCCTCCCCGTCGGCTGTATGCGCACGCGCGGCAAGAGCTGCGCGCGCATTCAGCCGGTCACATAGGAAAGCATTCATAATGCTTTCCTATGGACGCTGGCGTGCTCTCACTGTGAAAATCACAGTGAGAAGCACGCAAGCGCCTCTAGCGGCTGTCAATGAGACAGCCGCTAGTGGAAATAGGGGAAGGCTTAACCCATTCAGAAACATAGCAGTTTCTCTGAAACTGCTATGTTTATGAAAAAATGGGTTAACCCTAGCTGGACCTGGCACCCAGACCACTTCATTAAGCTGAAGTGGTCTGGGTGCCTAGAGTGGTCCTTTAAGTGTGTGTGCATCTGCATGCACTGGTGTACATACCGTGGTCGCAGGGGTCGCAGCCCTGTAACCCCTGCGACCAGGTGCCCACCGCCATGTGTTGCGGCCCGGCCCGCGCGCCGGGGGGCCCACGGATCAATTTTCGCACCGGGGCCCCATGGGTCATGTGTACGCCACTGCCTGGGGTGCCATTACAGACACCATAACAACTGAATTAAAATGCACAATTTAGGCTAAAATCTTTTTCAGTTAAGATGTGACTATAACAAAGTTTGGGACTTTCTTTCCACCAGAAGTACTATTCCTTATATTTTGCAATTTGGTTTGTAATTTAATACTATGTGGTGTTTAGAGAATAAGTTGCGTCGCTAGTGAGGACCAAAGAGGGCAGGCCCACCCAGAAATTAGCATGTTTGCCAGGCATGAAAGCACACATATGACTGACTGGCAACTGCACGGGCCATTCTCACCGAGGGCATCACATGCACAGAGCACTGTCAAAGGAACAGTCCAAGCACCATAGCTACTACAGCTCACTGGAATAGTTATGGTACCAGGTGTGCCCAGTCATTCCCTCATTGTAATCAGTCAAACCACTAACTTATTACCGGGGTGCGCTGGGTACCATACTCCATCTCTACTACTTCCTACTAAGAGTGGAAGCTCCCTCCACTACTAGACTTAGCCCAGACAGACCGTTCCCAGCTTTCCACAGGAAGTAGTGGAGGCAGGAAACCGTGCCCTGGAGACCCAAAATAAGAAGTCAAATCATTCTCAATCACTGTAGTAGTTGTAGTGCTTGGAGTGTTCCTTTAAGAATCCTGGGAAAAAAGAATTGTTCAAGATTGAACACAAGACAGAACATAAACATTCTGGTTTATTTCAGTCTGCTATTCATATTACAGCACTGTCAAAAACATAAAAATTAAATTTTTGAGGAAGAAAAAAAAACAAAAAAAAAACACTAATTTTACCTGCATATGGCATAACTTTTCATTTTATTTTTTTTTTAAGAAAATAACAATTTGGTGCTTTTAGTACTTTCACGTAGAACAGTGAGAGGTCGTGAGACATCAGCAACAGAGATGTAAAATGTAAACCAAAATAGATTGGGAGGTAAAAAAAAAAAAAAAAAAAATTATTTTAAAAGTTTTTTAAAAGCACTCCTCAAACTTTTGTCAACTACGGCAGCTCACCGTTTTGTGGAAAACATCAAAGTTGCTCACTGGTCACAAATATTTCATTTTAAGAAAAAAAAATAAAAATCAGCATAGAATAAACATAAAAACGTAATGCTAATGCATTTTGGAATGTTAATTTAATGTTTACCGGTATATGAAATTCAAACAGCTGCCATGTGTGACTCTGCAACATATGTCTTTGCTTGTCAGAGGTCCTGGTGATATCAGAGATCCTTAAGAATTAATTACCCTGTTTCAAGGATGCCAACAGTCTGTTCTTAAACCTGTGAGATGATCAATACAACTTCAGGCTTTGGTCCAGCACAATCCATGGAGCTCTAGGGGTGGTCTGGCATGCCAACCCCGTGGCCGTTTAGGTGAGGAGACGTGTGGATCTGGCTTGCAGCGGCACTTCCCTCTGCTGTCAGGCCTACGGGGGACTCGGAGAGATCCTGCGGTGAGGGTGTTGTGTTCTCTCGGTTCCAGTATGCTTCACATAGGGGGAGGTCGCTAGGGTCACACACACTAGAGCTTACCCAATGCAAACACAAATGCAAGCACGGAAAGCAGAAAGTGTGTCCAGGGCAGCAGCAAGATGCAAGAGAAGAGAAAAAGAGGGGAGGGATATAAAGAAAAAAAAATAAACAAAGCAAGACAGAAGCAAAGCATTAAGAAAATAGCAGCAGAAAAACACTTTCTTTAACCACAGAGATAATGTAAGAGTGCAGATTGAGGATTTTCTTTCTCTATATAAATTGTGCCACTGAAAATACAAATAGTTAATGTTAAATCAATAAAGAGAAAATAGAAATTGTATTTTTTGCAGCTTAACACAATTCCTTATAGGGACCATGCTAAGACTCACAATGTACCAAGCAACATGAGCATTGGAAGTCTTCCTGCAATGTGGAGTACAATCCTCAAGGTGGTGCCAATAAGCAAGGACACAATGTAAATACATTCAAAGTGGCACTGCCATTAGGTAGACAAGTAATGCATTTGCCTCGTGGAATAGAGGTGACAGGTGATACACAGACACCGCGTGTTACACTAGATTAGGCCAAGGGTAAGAATCCAAAGGGGGTATAATAAAAAAACACAAAAAACCTAAAGTTAATCTTGTTTCTAAACCCCTAATCCTAACTCAACTGTGAGCTGGGATTTGTGTTAGTAGATGTTTAGGAGAACGATTGATGGTAGGCGGTGGTGGAGTAGGCCTTGGGGATCAAGGATTATTATTGAGGGGGTTAGTGACCTCATTTGTGGGTGTTTAAATGAAAGGTTTAGGATGGCTTATTAAGAGGTAATGGGCAGGTTTAGGGTTAGGGGGTTATGGGCAGTCAGATTTGTTACTAGGCAACCTAGCAAGAGCATAAATACACATTTATTTATATATATTTTGATACATATTATCAGTAAGAGATGGACTCCCAAATCATGGAACAAGGGAACTGTATTTTGAGGGGCAGTTAAAGTGCCTGAGAATTCAGTGCCTACAGATACAGATTTAAAGCCATAACAACCAATTTGGAAAGATTCTACCCATCAGCTAAATGTTTAGTTTGGCATGAAATTTGAAATCCACTCTGGATTCAATTTGCATTTCCAACAATTCACACTTGAACAACCCTATAAGTATTACGTCAGGGAAATCTTAGGAAACAGTCTATAGAAGATGCACTTATAGAATAAAGAAACTTAAAGACGGTCACTCCTTTCTGATGCAGATTGGCTATTAGACTACTATGTCGATCTCATGGAGAATTGTCCTTTAAGAATATTATATGAACACTCCAGGCACCATAACATCATCCTCGGAATTCAGTTGTTGGAGTGCGAGCAGGTCCCTAGGTACTGGCTTGCCTCCAGGGGTTCAACTGTTAACGAATGTTTAACACCAAAGTCTTGAATCCGGTGCCCCATCAGCTATGCCCAGCTATTTCCCAGGAAGCCTCAGACTGGGAGCCACTCATAGGCTGAGTGTGTCAGCTGAGGCTCTCAGCCAGTCTATAGTCCCCATTTACAAATTGGGAAACGTACATACGCTCTCAGAAGTTCCCAGTCAGAGGATACCTGATGCAAGTCTCGGACTGCAACGGAAGTAGCTGAGCAGAGCTGATGGGTGCTGGATTCAAGACATTGGGGTTAAACCATTCTTCAACAGTTTAATCCTTTGAGCAAAGTCAGCGAACAAGACGTCCATGCACCAGAACAACTTCATTCCAATGAAAGTCGTTAAGGTGCCCAGAGTTAGCTTTGGAGCAGGAGTAGAGCGTGGGTATTGCATTACCATGACACCAGCATGCCTCTGATCTTAGCAGCAATGACATGCAGTAAAGCCTTACAGCTCCGACAGCAAATTTATATAATTTAGGTTTATGCTTCTCAAGAACTTACCTGTTTAGGTGAACCTGGCAATAAAGGTTCAAGTTAAATAACCTCATCTCCAAAAAAAAAAAAAATATATATATATATATATATATATATATATATATACATATACATACATACATATATACATACACACACACAGATGGAATATTTTCTTTTTATATTGATGTCAGATTGTGTCTTTGGGCTGTAGTACCCATAGATTGCACTGCTCATCATCCCAGCAAAAAGTATGCTTGGTTAACGCATTCTGAGATGGGGACCAGTACATTGCTGGTATTAGAATCTCCCTGACTAGAGGATACAAATCCTCCCTAAATATATTACATTTTTCTACAGACTTTGCACATGATTTGGCTCGCACCGTGTGTAGGTGAAATTGCACTGCTCGCCCGAAACATATATCTCCCATTTATGAAAATATATCCATTTAATAGCTTAAAATATGGCGCAGAAGGGTCATTCAGTGTTAATACATGGATTACTTTATTTAAATATAGATTCATATATTATATAAGCAAATACTAATATAGATCATATACAATAAAAAATAAAAAAGAATTTGGATTTTGGGGCGAATTATAGATTAAGCAAAACTGTGAATTAAGAGCACACCAATAAAGAATAATTTTATAAAACAAAATATATGTATATAATTACTGCGCCATCATCATTTCTAAATTTCCTATTAAAACAAGATAGGCAAAGAATCCCCATTGCTATAATTCTGTTACACTTGGCGATGCCACCCAGATGGTAAAAGAATGTGAACTTAAAGGACCACTATAGGCACCCAGACCACTTCAGTTTAATGAAGTGGTCTGGGTGCCTGGTCCAGCTAGGTTTAACCCTTTTTTCTATAAACATAGCAGTTTCGGAGAAACTGCTATGTTTACATTAGGGTTAATCCAGCCTCTAGTGGCTGTCTCACTGACAGCCGCTATAGGCGCTTCCGCGCTCCTCACTGTGATTTTCACAGTGAGAAGACACCAACGTTCATAGGAAAGCATTGTAAATGCTTTCCTATGAGACTGGCTAAATGCGCGTGGAGCTCTTGCCGCGCATGTGCATTCAGCCAAGAAGGAAGAGAGGAGGAGGAGGAGAGCTCCTGGCCTGGCGCTGGAGAAAGAGGTAAGTTTAACCCCTTCCACCCCCTAGAGCCCGGCGGGAGGAGGACCCTGAGGGTGGGGGCACCCTCAGGGCACTATAGTGCCAGGAAAACTAGTGTTTTCCTGGCACTATAGTGGTCCTTTAACATGGGCATGGCCTCGTAAAAACCCCCAAATGCCACAGGCTAAACTATATAGCTAGAGACCCTTTGTTCCATTAAAAGGGTCAATAATGCTGTAACCCAATTAGTGCATCCATTTATTGGACATACATGACAAGGGTTAAAATAACAAAATTTTAAAAGGCAACATTATTATGATAAAGTATGATTAAAAGGACAAAATAGCCACTGTAACGGCTCCATCTCACCGAAGTGTCTGGAGCCCAAGCAGCAGTGGGCTGCAGTGATTGTTGGAGAGTATCAACAATCACTCTCAGCCAATCATAATGTCAATTGCAGGTATGAACTGGCATGGGTAAGAACGATAACTTAGCCATACCTGAAGTGGGGGCTGGGCCGTGGGCAGGTGAGGAAAATCATTCAATGTTAAAAGTGCTCAATATGGATTTAAAATTAAATGCATGGAAAGTAGTAGGGAACACCAGGCACTATAACCACTTCAGTGAGATGAAATTAATTTAGTGCCCAATATGACCCTTTAAAAGGCACAGGTACCATTTATATATGAAGGCACGAATTGGTAAAATCATATAACTAATGACATTTAAACAGTCTCCCATACAAAAAAAATAAAAATACACAAAAATTGCACTTGTCTAAGTGAATGTTGCAGGAGTGCATAACCAGGTACCAGTAACAAACTGACAAGTAATTTGAGTCTCACTGAGAGTTACTGAAATAAAACTGAACAATTTATGGCCTGTTTGTTTTGCACAAATATTGTTGTTAGCAAGTTTAAGTTAAAAATAGAAGATTCCCATTTAGAAAACCCATTCTCCATTTAATACTAATAATTATAAAACAAAATGATTAGCCATTCTGGCTTTAGAGACAATTGACAAAGGGAGGGGAGATCCAGAGACCAGGTGTGACAGCAGTGGAACCATCCTACTTGCAAACTTTCCCCAAAAAACTAAATTGCCAGTTTTATGTGTATCATTCTCCCCCCAACCCCTTGTGTGTGTGTGTGTCTCTTTTTTCCTTTTCCCACCCCCTCTGTGTGTCTCATCCTTCAAAGCACCTGTGTGTAGCTCTTTCTCCCCTCCAGCCCTTCGGTGTGTCTACTTTGTGTCTTCCACCCCCATCCACTTTGTTTGCCTCTCCCCTTTCCCCATTCCCTCTGTGTCTCTTTGCCCCCCATCCCACCCCTAGCCCCGTGTGTCTCTATGCCCCCCATCCCACCCCTAGCCCCGTGTGTCTCTATGCCCCCCAACCCCCTGTGTCTCTTTGCCCCCAAACCCCTGTGTCTCTTTGCCACCCTCCCATCCCATCTGTGTGCTTATTGGTCGTTGTCCCAGCCCATCTGTGTGCCTTTTTGTCCATTACTTGTCTCACCCAATTTTTCCCACCTGTACCTGCTCAACATGTCTTATTACCCAACTACAGACACAATAGTTTACAACTGTAGTAAATTAAAGTTTCCAAAATCCACAATAGACTAATATTAGTTATCCCTGTGATATTTAGCCATCACTGAATTTGTGAGTATATGTTTTGCTTGAAAAAAAAAAAAAAGAAAAAGGGGCAATGGTTTTACTCTAAATTAAAACCTATTGCTCTTCTACCAAGCGGGGTTTAATTCTACTCGGACTATACCTGTATATCAATATGACAATGAGTCACTGCAGGAGCAGGTACAGACGATACTTACATTACTTGACTCCCAGTAAGGCATTTTTAAATATCAACTTCCGCACACCTATGTCATTATACATAGCCCATGACTTAAAAATTACATAAAGTATTTTCTAAAATAAAACAACCCTTTTGTTTGCGTTTTGGATAAAACCTTTTGTATGTTGAAATGAGCAAAAAAATAAGTAAAAATAAAAAATTAAAAAATAAAGTTAATCGCTCATTAAATTCCAGCTTTTAAAAAGTGCGTTTTTCAGGAAAATCAGAAAAAGAAAATAAATTGCCTTAGCCACCATCTTTTAGATGTGGGCAGAACATTTTGTTAAGTTAACAGTTTTTTTTTGTTTTTTTTTTGTTTGTTTTTTAAAAGCAGGACAATGTTGCAACATTTTATATCTTCCCATAGATGTAGAAGGCATCAGTGAGTCTCTGTAACAAGTTCCTATTTATACCTGGAGGAGTAATATTCCTCTTCAAGTTCATACAGATCTATAGCGATCTCGTCCCGCAGTGATATCAGTTTCTTGTCACATTCGTCCTGGAGACCCCGCAGCTGCTGGTTGCGCTGATTAATGGCTTCATTCACAGAGGGGAAATCATTCAGAATTAGGAACTGCTTGAGGTCAGACACCAGCTTCATGAGGGACTCACCTGCTCGCACCTGCAAAGGAGACGTCAAGCAATTAAAGGAAGCAGTATTAGGGGAGCCAAAACCTTATGATGACCAATGAAGGATAAAGAGTTCGGTCAACACAGCTGCAGGCTTGTAGATAGCCGGCTCCTAGTAACATTATATCAGAATCTGCCAGTGAATAAACAGATTGCAAATAGGAAAATTTAAGTCCAACTGGTTAAAGGTGCACTCAAACATCATAACTATAGTGAGGTGTAGTGGTTATGGTGTTAAGAGGGTGTGGGACCTGTCTCAGTTCTTTTGTCAAATCACTTCTGAGCTGGGGTAATTATCTACAAACATAACTGCAAATTCCAGAATCTGCAGATAGAGACACTCCTGAAAAAAAAAAAAAACCTAGCCAACATATAGTGAAGGGATTATATAGTATAACATTCAGAGCAACAGCCAAACACAACAAAGAATGGTTGTATACAAGTAGTTAGGGCACTAGTGCTATTAGATAATTTAGCATTAGGTTAAAGGACCACTTCAGCTCAATAAAGTGGTCTGGGTGCCAGGTCCCCCTAGCTTTAATCCTACAGCTGTAAACATAGCAGTTTCAGAGAAACTGCTATGTTTACACGGCAGGGTTAATCCAGCCTCTAGTGGCCGTCTTCCTGACAGCAATTAGAGGCCACTTCCACGATTCACACGGAGTAAATCGCACCAATTTGACGCTGGACTCCGTGAAGATCCCCATAGGAAAGCATTATTCAATGCTTTCCTATGAGCGAGTTTGAGTGCGCACGCGCCTCTGGCCGCGCATTTGCATTCGGCTCCACTCGATGGAGGAAGAGAGGTCACCAGTGCCGAGGGAGCCCGGCGCTGGATTAAGGTAAGCAAATAAATAGTTAATTAACCATTTATTAACCGCGGAACGGGGCCCTAGTGACCTAAACGGTGACACGGGCTCTATAGCATTAGGAATACATATTTGTCTGTGATAATATACTGCTAATTTCCCCAATTCTTATTGGTTTACTTACTATATTAGCCGACCGGACATGCATTTCGTAGTTATCTTGCTCTCCTTGAGTTGATCGGCTAACCTGATGCTCATCTTCAATCTGCAAGAACACATGAGCGGTCAGGAGGCAAAACCCATTATATACACGCAAAAAATTTTAATTTGTCATTTAAAATGGTAATTCACAATTATAAAAAAAAACAAAAACAGGCTGTAAAACTCCCACTAAAAACTATGATAATATAAAAATAAAATAAAAAAAATAAAAAACTTGGCCTTCTCCTGTTCTGTGGGTAAACAGCAGATTGATAGCACATTCGTGAAAATAAGACGGGGATATTTTATTAGATTTTTCTGATATCCTTATTTATATCTTTACTTTTGCATGTTATCGCCACAATTTATAAAAATATTGTAAACCAATTATAGCGTGAATTCCTATAAAGCACACAAAGAGCCAGGAAAGGATTCAGCCATGAAGACCTGTATAAAACACACTAACTTGGTTTAGTACAGTCTTTTCCCTGTGACTCCCATTCATGACTGTGATGTTCAGAGTGCGTGTGGCTGTTTCTGACAGCAGTATGGGACATCAGTAAAGTACACCCAAGAAAAATGGTGATATTCTGCATCTACAGAGCATACAGACCTTGGTGGTTTTGATGATTTCAGTAAAGTTGTCCATAATAGATTTAATATCATCTTTTAACCTCTTGTTGTACGATTGTAAGAGCGTCTCCTTGCTCTGAGGCAGCACTCTCTGCTGAGACATCCTTTCATTACAGGGTCAAGATATATAGATCGATCAAAACAAATTAAGAAAAAGAAAAAATTAACATAAGGATGAAAATTGAACACCAACAAGATCAATCATCCATTTTACCCAGGTTTCACAAACAATTACAGAGACAAGAAGTGTGAATGGATTTTGTATTTGTCATCACATATACTTATAAAAAAAATATTTTAAGGATGCGAGCGGGAGGCGATGGTGATGAATGGTGATCCAAAGAAAAGAATAAAAAATACAGATAACATTTTAATTTGCCGCAACAAGTTAGGTTGACTGGTTCTGAAAAACCTTTGCAATATATCCTCAGCAAGTTTATAAAATTATTGATAGGTGGTTTAAGCAGTTTTCTTGCTTAGTGTGTCCATTTAAAAACACAAAAGTTCTGCATACACATTTTTTTTCTCCAGCTACTTGTAAACATTTAACCAAATCATTTCCTGGACACCTACCGCTTCTCTGTGTGGATAAGCAGTACCGAATGCAGCATTCATATAACGCAAGAGGAAAATAAAACTAAACAAGGCAGCTGGTTTGGAATATCGGATCACTTTTTTTATTACCCGATTTCCTTCCTCAACACTGAAATGTTACCTACTGCAGGAAGCACTTTTCATGCATTGCCCATCAACACAGAATATTATCACCATTTATATAGCACCAACATATTCCGTAGCGCTTTACAATATTATTAGGTGTAGCCTAGTAAAAGCCCACACAGCCAATACTTCTTTAACAGAAAAATCTCCAGTCTCTGTAAAGGTTCTGAAAGCATTGATTGTTAACCTTGGCACCCCAAATACTTGTTTCCCATGGTGCTCAGCCAACATTAAAGGGCAAGCATCATGGGTAATGTAGTCCACAAAAATCTGGGGTACCAAGGTTTGCTATTACTGAGACTGTAGGGGTGATAGATAATAAAAAAAAATGTAAAAAAAAAAATAACTTTGGGGAAAAATTTTAAAAAATATAGAGAAATACCAAGATTTAGGTCTATATTCAAAGAGCAGCAATGTGAGATTTTACAAAAAACAGATTATAAATTCATATTAAACTATGATGCAGGCATTTTAGTACTCCCTATACACCTACAGGGGAGTATATTAATCCCAGCAGACACCTGGGCTGAATATTAGAACGTTGCAATATACCTGGATAGAATGCACACTCCAACTCTGCACAATGCAGGATCAAAGTAACCTGCTGCTCATCCAAACCCGCCCACCCCTGTTTCCGATTGGCTCAGGGGTTCCTGTTCAGACATTCTATTGGCTGTCTTCGCGTGGCAATCATTCTCCCTGTTTCAGGTTGAGTTGAAGTAGCACTCAGACTGTTAAAGTGACAGTACCTGTTTTTGATTGGCTGGAAACAGCAGCCTTTTTTCAGCTTTACAACATTTCAGTATTAATAGGGGTTTATTCATTAAACAGGGGACTGTAGTAAATGTAAAAAAAAAAAAATAGCAAAATTCACACTATACCAGCCAGGCTGTGTAGGAGTTTTTTTGTTTGTTTATTTTGGTTTTATTTATTATTGCAACCAAAAAACTGTGTTTAAAAACAATATATATTTAAAAAACACACTGGGTTTGGTTAAAGCAGAGGTAGTCAACCTTTTAATACGTACCGCCCACTTATATATCTGTTTTGATGGTAAAAATGTCCTTACTGCCCACCAGTGCTGCATTAACTAAATTTTTTTGCGCAAGTGCGGATGTCCAGTCTTTTTTAGTAGCCACTTAGTCACAAACACTGGTCAAAGTTAGCATTTATATTTGTTTGTGTTTTAAAAATGCAAAAATCTATTATGAATGCTAGCTTTGGCCAGTGTTTGTGACTAAGTGGCTACTAAAAAAGACTGGACATACCCCATTTGCAATACCTTGGGTTGTCTACTATTGCAAATGGTATGCCATCATGGGGGTAATTCTCATTCCTGGGCTACCATATGCTCTCAAAGGCAACATAACCAATCTGGTGAATTTCAATCTAAAAAAAACACTATAAAACCTGTACATACGGGGTACTGTTTTACACGTGAGAAATCGCTGAATACAAATATGTGTATTTTATTGCAGTAAAAACATACAGTATTATGACATTCCCAGTTAAAATGTCACGTAGAACTAAAAAAATAAAAAAAATTCTTAATTTCTCACATTTGTTTTATATTTTATTCGTATTAAATTATGTTTCATAGCTAAATATTTGATGTTAAATGAAAGCCCTGTTTCTCCTGAATAAAATTATATATATAATGGGGGCGGAGCCAGACAGCAGCGCTGACCGGCCTCATATTTTGTGGGTTCTGGGGGAAAAGTGCTAAAACAGCAAAAATCACCAGTTTTATGTCTGCATTTCTACTGTTGGACTCTCCAGGAGACAGAGGGAGATCACAACAGTGGCAATACTCTTGTTCCAGGTCGAGATCGGCGGCTGATAAGGGGAGCAGATGTGAGGCCCACAACAGGCCTACTCACAGTTCCTGCAGGGGAGGCGGTTGACCCTTTGGCATGTTGCTGTATCCTATGCCTGCAGTCTCTCCTTCCATCTCTCCCCCCGTGCCGGTGGGGGTTATCCCAGCGCACTCTACTCATGCTGCAGTGACGGATTGCCAGCGGTATGCCCTCCACCGCAACCAGCATGCAGAGAACAGCAGGGACACCTTGACTGGCGCACCAGCAATGGTGGACGCCACATGTGACGGTGATCATCAGGGAGTGCTGGCCGGAGCTCTCTCAATGCTGGACAGCATCTTTGAAGCATTCTGGCAGAAGCTACACCTCAGATGCCCACAGGCCCTTCTAACCCGCTCACCTGGACAATCATCTTGTTGTCCTCGGGGTCATCCTGCGGCTACCAACTTGCGGAATAAGCGCCTCAAGCGGAGAAAGCAGAACCCGAGACGGACTGTGACTAGGCCTGCTCCAGCATCACACAGTGCAAGCCCTAAGATTCCTGAGCGGGCAGCAGACAGAAGGGGTGCACAGAGGGAGCCAGAGAGGCTGCACAGTTTTCCTGACTTCACACGCACCGCTCCCAAAGTACCGGACCAACAAACCCACGCTGCCTTATGGGACTCTGTCTTGCCTGTAGCAGGTATTGGATGACTTTGGCCCTAATCGATTTCCACTCTGCTTGATACATGTATGTTTTTTCTTTTTTTTTTACCTCCTGGCAGAGGACACAGTGGGCTATTTAATACTGAGCATTGTTTTTGTCATTCACCTATCGGGTCCTGTGGAGTGGGACATTGGCTGGTCAGTAGTCACCCAGCCTGTATATTAGCCTGTACTCATTATGTTCCTATCCCTCCAACATGTTACATAAATGTCTAGAATGTTTTAGCTTGATTCATAGCATTGTTTTGTCTGCTTCATAGACCATTTGCTGCAGCTTGTTTATTCTTCCGTAATGTACACCAATTAAGCAACATCTCCTATGTGCACATTACTTTGATAAAGCCTCACCTATCGTGTTTTCTTTACTGCATATAGTAATTTAATAACCACCCTATCTGGTGGCACATTATGCTGTTTCTAAGCTACTTAGTGCATATGCTTAACCTGGTTCACTTATTTGGGATTTTAACGCCAAGCACCATATCTCTTCTCTGGCTACTATTATAAATAATGTGCATTATTAACGTTATGCCATACAATTGTACTACTATGCCTTTTGAATTGCTTGCTATAGCTGTTGTGGCTCTGCAAGTCTGTTTGTAACTACAAGCACAACAAAAATAAAGAAATTAAACATTTTTAATTATATATATAATAATTGTGGGTGCACTTAATAAAAAAGAGGTGAATTATGGTTGAACAGACATATAGTAAAATTCCAAGTTTTCTTTACGTTTCATTTTGATCAAAACGTGTACATCTGGCTCAGTCCTTAAGGAGTTAATGTGTTTACCGGGACTTTTATTATTGTGAAACATTTGTAAACCGAAATGTAGTTTCCCATAGGAATGCATTGAAAACCAATTAGTCAGAAAAAAAGTCAAAATGAGCTGGCATGCAAACCAACTCACAATGCCAGAAAACACACTAAAAGGTATACAAACGACAAAGCTCAGCTCCCTACCTTTCCACCGCTTGAGAAATGCACCAAAAAAGTTCCAAAAAGTTCCAAAACCTCTGCATACAATTTCCAGAATGGCTCCAAAACTCAATGCAAAAACCGCTCCAACACCTCCAGTATCTCTACACTCAACACCACGTGCTACCCACAGACTCCAGCATGCACGGAGGCTGCGCTATAAACCTCCCAGGCGCAATGCATCCTGGGAAAACTTGCTACGTATAGCGAGAAGAATTTGCAATTCTCTGTTTCCTTGGTAATTTGAATTCACAATTTAGCAAACTACATCAAATCACAAAACAGATCAGACAAGGCAGGAAACAGGACAACATTGCGGATGAAGAGGAGAAATAGAACCATTGTGCGTTATGTAAATAAATTAATTCACTTTCACATTTGCTCCAGTTTTATGCCATGCACCATTTTATTATTTAAAAAGGAGTTACTTACACAATAGTATATTTTTTTTGTCACCTTTTCCATAATGAGCCAATATAATAGATCTTTGTGCCACTTTCTAAAACTGTTCCAGATTTGTTGCTAATTTTTGTCCTGATGATTTTACCATTGGTTACATTCATAAAATAAGACGCGTGAGTAATATGTTTGCTTAAATTTTGTGATTTCAATTCACTACAGTCTGGAGTTTCAGTGAATAAATTCCAAAGAGGTTTAAAGGATTATTCCAACCCTTTCTAACTAAACTTTTTATAAATGTATTTTATTTGGAATGTCCTATTAGGCATTATTAACCTGGTCTCTAGCTTATATTTAATAAAGAAAAAATAAAAATGCTAAAACATAATCATAAACGTACCTGGAATCCATTGCCAGAAGAAGCTCCCCTCATTGGTCTCCAGGCCACGTCAGTCGTCACTTTTTTCCTCTCTGTGGTCTCATAGAGAAGCATTTGATTGGACCAATCTCCAGTCTCAGTGCGCATGCGCAAGCTCTGAGCTGAGGAGGAAGTGAGTGTGGGGTGGACAGAGAGGCTGGACAGAGGAAATGGGTTGAAAACTCCCAAAAAGCACAAACCACAATGCAGAGAATTGGGTCACTATGAAGAGGGAAAACACAAGCAAAGGAGGAAGGGGGGAGTGTGCAACAGGCCGCTCTCTGCACTGCCTGCAAGGGTAAAAGCGGATTAAGTCATACAAAACTTTGAACAGAGTTCAGGGGTGCCCGAGTCACATGTCCAGGGCTGCAACTAGCCCCCGGCACAAAACTGCAAATACGTCTGTAATTGAAGCATTTCAAGCAGAAACTCTGCACATACAGATTCCTTGCTCCATGATCACATCTTCATGGAGCCTGCAGTAGCCCTTTAACCCCTTAAGGACACATGCCATGTGTGACATGTCATGATTCCCTTTTATTCCAGAAGTTTGGTACTTAAGGGGTTAATGTGTTTTTTTCACTACCTGCCTAATTGAAATTGAAAATTGAATCACAAAACGTAGACAAAAAATGGTGATTTGGATAAATTCTCTGACTCCCCTTGAGTCACAGCCTGGTTATTGTAGCCTGAATTTTGCAATTATGGGGAATATGTATAAAACATTGCGTGTCTGTTTTAACTGTAAAATGTTGTCGCATTTTCTGTTTGCGCCAATACTTTCTTCATCATCGCCATATATTTCCTATTTGTGCCCTTTCAGACAGTTTTGTTCTGTGACTATTTGTTGTTGTTCTAAATATTCGCACTGTAGATTTGTAAAAGAGGGTCGCAAAAGTGCACTTTTTGTTTCTGCAGATTTAACACCAATGTCAGAGTGGCTGCCCAGCTTTCACAATCTTTTTTTTTTTGTTTGGGGTAAAAAAAATCCTCACGATTGCGCCTCTTTTTCCCCCTACCAAGATGAATAATTTATCATAGTTTGTGGATCAGGAAAAAAAAAAAAAAGTGTCAGTAACACAGCTTACTTTGGCGCGTTACAGAAAATATGGGGGGAAAAATGTCTAAAGGTAGTGCAACAGTTTTATACATAAGAAAATGGCATCATTTCAAAACAATTCTATGTTTAGTGATAATTTTTACTGATAGTTAATAATTATTATATTTATGTTAATTCGCTACACTTCACTGTTTAGTTATGTTTCTTATCTCATTGTACAGCGCTACGGAATCTGATGGCGCTATATAAATAATAATAATAATAATGTTATAGTTCATAATATATTAATTCACTGCAGTTCACTGTTTACTGAAAGTAGTGATATTAGTTAATATAAAAAAAAATTTTTATAATAATATTTAAATAATAATATATCTCTGTCTTCTTATTAAAGCAAATTTCACAATGCATTCACATATCCTCCTCTAGTATGTGCTGTCCCTTTAAATCCCAGCCTTTAAATCTCGCGGATATGAGGAAGTACCGCGAGATTTCGGAAGCGATACAAATATTACCCAGCATGCCTCTTACTTCCTTTCTCTACCCCTGTCCACCATGGTGAGTGTTCTGAGTTGCTGCTCGCAATGGAGGATAACTTTATCCGTCGCCATCCTCTGCATGCCGGACCTCCAGTCACCCTAAACCCAGCTCAAATCCTGCCGGGCACTCATCCCGTGATATTCCCGGCGATATGTCGTAAGATTGCGGGGAGATTAGACTGTTATATATAGCTGCTCACTCGGGGTACTAGGCCCACGCCTGACTCCATAGTAACTACGGGTAGGCCTGGAATGGCAGTGTGGGAAAGGTGTATGCACCCACTGCAATAAACTCTTGGGGCCTCTTCGAGTAACTCAGACCGCGGCCTTTCCCAGACCTGGTGCCGCTTTTGAGCAGCTTTCTTGGGGTTACCTATCTAATTTACACCGCAACTCTAGAAGGCTTTTGGTGCCACTTGTATTAATACTGCTGGCATTTATTTATTTGACTTGAGCACGTTATAACAGTGCCTGGGTTATTTAGTATTTTTGTGGATTTATTAGGATATTATTATATTATTATAATATATATTTTTTTTTTCCCTTTTTATAACCGAGTTGGACATGCAGATGATGTAAAGAATATTTGCTATCTGAGTTTCTCTCTGATGACAAGCTTTCCACCAAGATCGCTGATGCATGTCTACCATGGTTTAATACCTATACTTACAGACCATTGAGAAGGAATTAAAAATAAATTTATTAGTTTGAAAGCCTTGGCAAGTAGTTTCATGGTGTCCTCGGACAGGGTTAACTGGGTAATTACCTTAGTGAGTAGATCAGAAGGCTTTTGTTTTAACTTGTTTTACATATTTCTGCATTAAATGGAGGTTGGGGTGCTTTTATTGTTTAACTTCACTTGTTGGCCATTATTAACTGTATCATGTCTTTTATTATGACAGCCTAAAGGAAAGAAGGCCAAGGGGAAGAAGGTGGCCCCAGCCCCTTCCGTCGTGAAGAAGGCAGAAGCCAAGAAAGTTGTGAATCCTCTTTTTGAGAAGCGGCCCAAGAACTATGGCATTGGTGAGTGTAATTGTATTGTAATGTTGCTCTTCCCACTGCAAACACTGGGTAGCTCAGTTTCCTTCATACCACATCGTTATGGTAAAATAAACTGCCATGTGGTGGATCTGTCGTGGTGTTTGTGTGGTTTTTTGTTTTTGTTTGTTTTTTTACCACTGGATCTGGGCATCTCCTTTCTGCTTTATCTGAAATGCGTAACTTTTAGTGAAGTCTTTAGAATGCTGCAGATATTTTGAGAATAGAATGAAGCTGGTATAGTTACAAATATTTAACAGAACATTTTAATGTTTGGGTTTTTGTAGTGTATTTTACATGAACAGGACTATTTACTATGATGTAGATTGACACCAGTATTGCTGCTGCATGTTTAGAATAGTCACTTGGTATGTTAGAGTATTGTTTTTTGGGTTATTTGTCTTGCTTGTGCCTTTTTAGGGGGAGGTCTTATAGATTCCAAGAATCATTAAAGTCAAGATCTAACACCTAGATGGAGCCAATAATTTCACATTTGTCCTAATAAAAATACATATAAGAAGTGTCGTTTGTAATTTGCAGGAATACTTAAAGGGGCGCACTGTAACTACTTCCCCTTAGAAGTAGCTGTCTGGATTACCCTTCCATTCAGAATAAAACCCTTTTTCTTTTAATGTGAAATGTGAGTTTCTTTGAGCCTCTCAATCCACTCTGGGCTTATTAAAGGGTCACTATAACAAAGTAATCTAAATTAATTTATGGTGCCAGGAGGCCTTTTCACACAACTCTTGCCTTAAGACAGTGGTTCCCAACCAAATCCTCAAGTACCCCCTAACAGTCCAGGGTTTACCCAGTTGTGTCTAAGGTGTTTTTAGAAAAAAACTCTTCAGACACAATGGGGTACTCCCTAAATCCTGGACTGGTCTGGGAACCCCTGCCTTAAGGGTTAGTTTTTAAGTGTGCCTGGGGATCTCCTAGCACAGTAATTTAATTTAGATGGTTATGTGACATTGGTGTTCGGTTAAGCACTAGCTTGAGCAGCAGTTATTGGCCATGTTTTGGCTCACTGATTTCAGCCATTGCTGGTATGAATCTGTATAGCCATAAGGAAGTTAATGCGTCAAGTTACGGCTGGGTTCTTAATAGCCAGGTACTCTAAATGTTTACTACTTGAAAATGGTTTAACATTGCATGAAAGGGAAAATATTTTAGTAACTAGTGTTCCTTTTAATTGCCTTCACACTTGTGGTGTGCTAGTAATCGGTGTTTAGAAAGTTCATAGCCACAATCAGAATTTATGGGATCTGAACGGATAAATCCAATCTAATTAACCTGTAGATAATCTGGTCACTGCAGGTATTCGGGTTTTGTTCTGGAATTTTAACTAAAACTTCTGTGATATTATAGAATAGGCTTTCATAAGCATTCAGTTTTTATGGAAAACTCAAAGCAGACTTCTTAATTCTAGCTGTTTACCGTAATCTGAAGTCTTTCATACGACAAGCAACATAACTTGCCTGTGCTGTCTATAAACCAGGTCAGGATATTCAACCCAAGAGGGATCTTACTCGCTTTGTGAAATGGCCCCGTTACATCAGACTTCAGCGCCAGAGGTCTATCCTGTACAAACGATTGAAGGTTCCTCCTGCAATCAATCAGTTCACCCAGGCCTTGGACCGCCAGACTGGTAAGAATGATGCTTTTGGGCACAAACTATAAGGCTCTTATGTTAAACTTGCAAATGATGCAAAACAATATTTGCTATCTGAATATGGTGATTACACACTTCCACCAAGATCGCTGATGCAAAGTATGAGTCTTAAAACTTGCTCAACATGGCTTTGTAGTATGAAATTATGCAGATAAGTAACTATTTTATTTTTATTCCCCACTACCTCCACATTTTTAGCTACTCAACTATTTAAGCTGGCTCACAAATATCGACCGGAAACAAAGCAGGAAAAGAAGAAAAGATTGCTGGCTCGTGCAGAACAGAAAGCAGCAGGCAAAGGAGATGTCCCTACCAAGAGACCTCCTGTAATCCGTGCAGGTAAATGTTGTGTTTTGGTTAAGGCCTTTTTTAACTGTTTGCGCCCTATAAAAAAAAAATCTGTACTACAGAATGTACACTGGTAAAACACTTAACCCCTTAAGGACGCTGGACAGAAGTCTTCTGTCCAAAATGAAAATTAACCCCTGATTGCCACAATCGTGGGGTTAATCTTCCTGTAGTGTCTACATATCGGAGACACACTACCACGGTCAGTTTCACTGATTCCACCCATGTGATCGCTCTGACAGGGAGTCAGAGCGATCATACATGCTGCAGTGAAACCCGATCTGTTTCCCTGCAGCTCCATGTGAGCTGTGAACTGCAGAGACAAATCGATGCTGATCGGTTACTCTTCAAGTAAATGTACTTGAAATATTTATTTAACTGGGGTGGGTAGAAGTTAGTGGGGAAATTGGGGCTTTACGGTTAGGCTAGTTAAGGGTTAAAAAAAACCAATTAAAAGTGAACTTTTTTTAAGTTTAAACAAAGTTTTAAAATAGTAAAATAAGCTAAAACGTTTTAGGGAGAGGGCGGGGAGTGCATATTACCTCTACACTTGGTACAGGCTAGCAAAAAAAACACGCTAAGGTTCCAAATATGCCTCTTGAAACACCCTGGGGTGTCTTTAGGAAATGGTATGCCTTTGTGAAGTAATTGGGGAAAACACAACCTATTAAAAACAAAAATTTCCAAAGTTGGGCATGGACACAGCGTAAAAATTCTAACTTAAATGACTGCCTCAAATGTGCCCCTTCAACATTGTCATATACCTGGTAAAGGTACATACCGGGGTATTGTACTCAGATGACATAGCGGAGCAACATATGATGTATTATACTGCTGTAGCACACAAGGTTTGCAAAATATATATTACATCTCATTGAGTGTCAAAAGGTATAAAAAAAGCTTACCACTACACTTGGTACAAGCTAGCGTAAAAAAATATTTCACGCTAAGGTTCAAAATACGTCTTTTGAAATACCCTAGGATTAAGAAATAGTATGCCTTTTTGGGGTAGTTGGAAAAAGCAGCCTGCGAACATATGTAAAAAATATAATACGGTCCCATTAAAACTCTCCATGTAAACTCACACTTAAAAACCTGAACTTGTCATGTCTTTCACAGCACTGTAACTTAACAAAGTAGTGTCTAGGTCATACATTGGGATTATTATTTTACTCAGAAGAGGTAACTGAGCATACTTGGGGGGAATTTGACAGTGGCACTTATCAAATGTAAGAAATACCCAGTGAAAATGCAACATGTCTGTAAAAAAGTTCACCACAAAATTTGAAATAAATTGGTGAAAAAATGGAGGCAAGTTAAGGTATAATATATGCCTAATAACATACCCTGGAGTGTGTGCTTTCTCAAATGGAAGCCCTTTGTGGGGTTATTTGAACAGTCAAATGGCTACAATGCCACAATCAGACATGACATCTATGAAAATTCCAACTATAGAAACTGAAATAGCATGGTCTCCTATATGGCATTGTAGCTTCACAGAATAGGGGTAAAGGTATACAATGGGGGTATCGTTTTACTCAGCAGATGTAGCTGAACACAATATGGGGTTCTGTATAGGGATAGCACACACCAGCTTTACGAAATACACATTACAAAAACCTTGTAGTGTGTATATGCTAAAATAGAGAAAATAATTTCAATCCAAAATTTAGCAGCGATTGGCAGTAAAATGGCCACGCAAAAAGTGTCAAACTAACATTAGGTAAATGGCCTGTGATGTCTAATTTATATAAATATATACTTTTGTGTGGTAATTTTGTTCCTTGTAATGGGTATTAAACTTCCAAAACACAAATACCAACTTCTAAAATTGTTTCACATTGAAATTTTATTTTAGACCTTGTAGTTTGACCTGTAACTTTCAAAATAAACTGAAATCCTACACATTATGCACTTTGTAAATCAAGACACATAAATTAATTGATTTTTGAATTACTTTTCCTAAGCTGGATATATTATGCACACATTATTGCAAAAACAAGAGGGGGAAAGCGTTTTTTCCACGTTTTGCATTTTTTTGGTAATAAATGAGAATTTACATGCATTTGTCACATCAAATTAAAGCCCCTTTTGTCTAAAAAATGGTATATAATGTGTTGGTACAATAAATGAGATGCAAATTGCATTTGAATACAAACCGCAAAAAACTGCTTGTCATTAAGGTGTTAATATATGCTATTGCAATGATGTTTGAATTTCTTCACCTGAAATATCATGAAGATTAAAACATGAGCTTTTTAACACTGAGCAATAGCAATACCACAAGCTTTGGGTTTTTTTTTTTTTTTTCACTTTGTAACTGAACATACTTAACGAACTTATGGTTTTACAGGTGTTAACAGTGTCACAACTCTGGTGGAAAACAAAAAGGCTCAGCTTGTGGTGATTGCACATGATGTGGATCCAATTGAGGTGAGCTATTGGACCCAGTGGCTGGGTAGTATTTTACTGAAATACACATGCTAGACGAGTATATATAAAAATTTTTACATATCTATTTTTTTCCCCTAGTTATTCTGTAACAAATTGTAGTGATCTTAAAGTGGCTCTATAATACTCCTGTCTAAAATGAGCATTTAACTAAAGTTTTTATGGAACTCATAGTGTTGGAAATTTACTAAAATTCCAACCCAGTCAAAAGATATGACAAAGTAGAGGGACTTTACCTCCAGTAGGCAAAAACTCATTTCTATGGAGGATCTTGATGAAACCTCAATGCTGTAATCACACGGATGTGTAAGAGTACACTGCTGAAGCTCCAGGAGCTGAAGACCAAACAGAATATTATGGCAGCACTCATGAGTGATGGTTTAAGGTATATCCTACCTTCTCCTGTGGCCACTAGACCCTCAGAGGCAAAGTCATGGTTTAGGAGCAACCACATCATTCAGTCTGGGGAAACTTTCCACAATGGTTGCTCACAGCCTTTCAGTGCTTTATTACAAACCTTTCTTGTGCTGGAGATTATAGGATTGTTTAAAAATACATAGGAATTAAGGAGAGAGCGCAGGTAACTTGTTTTTCTTTGGCTTTTACTATATATTGGGGCTGATGTGTACTGTAGTTATTGCTGACGCCCAGTGATGGGAGTGAGTGCAGGACTTATTTTTCTGCATAGGAAGCTGGTCAGGAGGAAGCGGTGCCGAAGCCCCAACTTTAAAGGTAAACTTACCCTAAACGGGATAATGTCCCAGGGTATCCCTGCCTCTAACTTAAATATGCTTATGGGGTTGGGTGTGTTTTTCAAGGAAGGGGCTGCAGCCCGACATAACAAAACTAGTTTCTGGTTAAATCTTTCATCGTATATGCTGCCTCAGTTAAAATCACACTTGTATGATCCACTGCAGTCCTTTCCAGCTGAAACCTGGGGAAAATCTAATGGAAAAATTTAAGCCAGTAAAACAATGTTTGTTCTGGCCCATTTGATTAACATAGTTTTATTTAGAAAGTTTCAACAAGTAATGTTTTGTGAATTGCAATGATGTTTTGAATTTCTTCGACTGATAAAATTATGAAGATTTAAAAATGAGCTTTTTAACACTGAGCAATTCTATGATCACCTCTTGGGAGGGGGAATTGGGTTTCCACTCAACATTTACATTAAATGAAGCACTTGGTCTAATGTATTAAACTTCTTTTATCAGCTGGTTGTCTTCCTGCCTGCCTTGTGTAGGAAAATGGGAGTCCCATATTGCATCGTCAAAGGCAAAGCTAGATTGGGCCGTCTGGTACACAGGAAGACCTGCACCAGCCTTGCTTTCACACAAGTCAACGCGTAAGTTTTACTGCTGTTTTGAACTACTGTTTTGTCATATCCTCTCTGGCAATGATGTGTATAGAATTTCTTCACCTGAATACAACCGTGTGGCACTCAGAGCTTTTTAACCCTGAGCAGCGAGGGTTTGATATTGTTGCTTCATCAGTGTTTTTTGTCTGGGAGAAGTAACTTCTACTATTGTCCATTTCCATAGTGAGGACAAGGGAGCTCTTGCTAAACTGGTGGAAGCTGTCAAGACCAACTACAATGATAGATATGATGAGGTAATGCTTGTTCTGCTTCCTGTCCTGTATTCTAGGTAAAATCTAAACCTTTCTTTCACTTTGTCATAAGTGTGGACTAATTATCTTTGTATAGATTTTATCTGCAAAGTGCTTCTTTACCAAGTACAATAGTCTTGCCTGTGATTTGCATTTCCATAGCTCACCCCATTATGTTTCTTGGTGGTTTTTTTTTTCACTCCTTCCTGTTTGACAGAAGAGCTATCTTAAACTAAAGAACTTTTATCAGATGCGCTTTTGAAAGGCCTCTGCATGTTATAATTGGTTTTAATTTAATGTCTGTTAACACCTGGCTATCCTTGTATTTTTCTTTAGATCCGTCGTCACTGGGGCGGTGGCGTCTTGGGTCCCAAATCAGTGGCTCGCATTGCCAAACTTGAAAAGGCAAAAGCCAAGGAGCTCGCCACAAAGCTGGGTTAAATGTACCGTGCGTGTTCTGTACATAAACAATAAAAACTTTAAAATCCATACTTCAGTTCTCAATTTGTCACAACTATACTAAAGTTTTCTGGAGATTGGATGCTCTTTCCTTAAGGCTTTTAACTTGAAAGCTCCAAATTGAAGTTGCTACATATGGCCAATTTTACCATGGCGAGGAGAACTTGCCCCTATACTTGATTTATTTTTAAAGCATGTATCGAGGTGATCATTCTGCTTAAATTTTAAAAAAATAACAATGTTGCATAGGGATGCAATCTCACGGTTCATAAAGAACTATAGATAAAAGTGACTGCAAACTTCATGTAAAATACTCTACCAATGCAAAGTTTACACTTGTCATACGTCCTCCCATCCAACACACCTAGTTGGAAAACACTAATGCATTCTTGCAGGGATCAACGTTAAAGTATCGGGCGAAACTAGATCATAACTTATTTTCAATCAAATTGACTTGGGGTTCACTTAAGTATGTTAGGAGTTTGGTCAACATCTCAATTCAGTTTCCACTCCCAGTCCTCCCCCCGCCCCCCCTTCCATTGCTTCACAATGAAAACTGGACATACTAGACATGCTATTCTTAAAGGATCACTATAGGGTCAGGAACACAAATGTATTCCTGACCCCTATAGTGTTAACCACCATCTAGCCCCTCATGCCTCCATAAATATAGCAACATCTTACTGTATGCAAGCCTGAAGCTGTAACTCTGCATGCTGTTTGCCTCAGAAAAACATGCTGTCTGCTGACATCAGTAGAAGTGGTAGCCTGATCAGTGCTTCTCCATATGATTGACTGAGACTGACAAAGGGGCAGAGCCAGCATGATTCAAACACAGCCCTGGCCAATCAGCATCTCCTCACAGAGATTAATTGAATCAATGAATCTCTATGAGAAAAGTTCAGTGTCTGCATGCAGAGGGAGGAGATACTGAATGTTTGGATGCATTTTAGGCAGCCATGACCCTGGAAGGATCTCCAACAACCATTTGAGGAGTGACCAGTGAAGTTATCACTAGGCTGTAATGTAAACACTACATTTTCTCTGAAAAGACACGGTTTACAGCAAAAAGCCTGAAGGTAATGATTCTACTCACCAGAACAAATTCAATAAGCTGTAGTTGTTCTGGTGACTAGTGTCAATTTAATTTCATACCCAGAACATGTGATGTCACAATGCTTTGGTCAACTAGTCAGAAAAAGAACATTAAGCTGCCAATACCTAATGATTGCTGTAATAAAGTGTGCCATGGCATCTATTCTTGTCAGTCAATATTAAGACACTGTGCTGAGGGAGTGGGGGTGTTTTCTACCTTTTCACAAGCTAAGTAGAGGTCTGAGCCAAATGCCAATCTGCATCTCATCATAGAGATGCATCAAATGCATGAGCTTCCAGAGCCTGGAGACAAATGTATCTTGTGGAGATGCCCCTAGTAAGCATTGTAAATATTGCCTTTTCTCTAAAAATGCAGGGTTTACGTGAAAATACCAGCAGGGTCATAATATACTCACCAGAACTACATTAAGCTGTAGCTATATATAATATAGTGTCCCTTTTTAAGCTAAAGTTAAGATGACAAGTGTCTGGCTCCATATCAGCAAAACTGATCAGTGTGCTTCATTTCTAACTTCCTATACAGACAGTGCATGACAATACAAAACTAAGGAAAGGGTAATGTGTGGTTAAAATGTTATTGAAAATGTGAAGTTTTGCATATCATTTTGTTCAAAATACAATTGCATGTTATTAACAATGCATCAACAAATCATGGTTCCCTGGTATATACCAACTCTAAACATCTAGATTACTCTAGTTCAGTGATAGTAAGGGCAAAAAATATAAGCTGTGATGACCTACCAGATGTGACAACGTAAGAATTTCTGTAAATATTAGTGAATTGTGTGGTTTTCTTTTGACACCATAAATTTGCCAATGTTACCACCTCACAATTCATACAAACTTATCAATGCTAACATTTTATAGGTGTCTAGAGTGCGAATTTAAAGAGTTACTTCAATCTCCATGATCACTTATACTTTTGGAATCCGTTGTGCTAGGAGTCTATGTACAGATTTTATGCAGCAGATGTTGAAATATTTGCACTTGTATGGCAGGAGCTGGTTCCACCCCTTGCACATATTAATTTGGAGGTCCAGAATGCAAAATGTCAATTCTACACATAATGACTGTGCATGCTGGCAACAGCCTTAATTAGATTCTCCCTTGCCTGCTGAACCTGCAAGGGAAAGATTGTCTCCTTTCCTTCCGTTTAGTGCCGCTATTCTGAAAATTTAATTTTCCCTACCCTTGCTGTCTGAGCATGTGCATACGTTCTCAGCAGGTTAAAATGTCCAATCAAAAGCAGTTCCATGAGAACCTTTTGCCTGGACCTCATGATGGATGCTGTGATGTCAGGCGGGTAATGGAAAGCCATGTCGTGCTTTGTCTGCACTGTATTTCAAGTGCATTTTAGCTTATTTAATATTTAGTTTAGCAATTAGTTGTGAGAGGTTAAGAATGTGTAAGTGTTTAAGTATAAGCCTAAATGATCTGAAATCTGTGTTACAAGAGTTTCAGCCACAAGCATCCAAATTAATGGGTCAAAGTGCCTTGATCAACTTGTGCCCCTCAGCCATAATGTAGGCATACTCATCTGGCACCAGTACTCCCTCTAATCAAGAAATGGAGGAAGCCTTAATAGCTGTCAGGGCAGATTATGGGTTTCGCTACTTATGAGTGGCAAGCCTTGCAAGACTGTCATGTTTTTTGTTTCATGAGGGGGAGAATGGGTAGCATACCCTCTGGAAAGACGTTGTTCCTTTTATTATACTAGAAAGCAGTGTTACATCATCACACTGACCTAATCCTGTGCATGTACAAGTCACTCATGCACCAATGAGACCGGAAGGAGTAATCTGCTGAGGTGTGAACGTAGTGCTCCTGTGAGTGGAATGGAAGCTGTACACAGAAATAATTGCAGGGTGGTGACATGGGGAATGTGAGGACTTATTAGAGAGAGGTATACTGTATGGCAGAATAATCTGATTAAATTAAGGGTTAGGGGGATAATGCAAGGAAATAGGTGGCCTTTGTTGGTGAAGGTGGGTTAATTGAAAGGGAAATGGTGGCATCCGAATGAGAGGAGTGGGTGATGTAAGTGGAACAGCAATCTGTACACGAAGATATTACCCCTTTTCTACTAGGCTGTCACACTTGCAGCCAATCTGCATTTAAACATTTTAGACAGGGCTTGACCGCCATCCTGGGTAGAGGCATGGCTGGCGAGCTCCTCACTTTACTTGCCATAAAGTCGTTCAATGCATACTTGCCGACCAAAAATCGACTCCAGCAGTGTTATATCTGTATCTAGCTGTTGACCGGCATCTACGGCAGAGCTCTGAACCTGCGGCCTAACAGGGAACCGACTGGGAGTGGAAACTTTGTCGGAACTTGGTGGCCGGGATGCCTGAAAATCCCTCCCCTCTGGCTTACAACACACACCAGTGCTGATTCCTGATCAGGCTTTGAAAGCAGCTCACTTTTCCAAGATGGCAGCTGCATTCCACTCTCGTGGTCATGATTCCAAGCAGCCCAGGATGGAACGTCATGTCTCTGTTGAGCACTCTGAGATGATTAGATGAGATCTTTGCCTGGTTTTGGGACTCCTTAGAGGCATGACGAGCAATATGTTGCTTTAGCTTCGGAAGGGAGACCAGAGGAGCAGGAGCAGACAAGTGAGTAGGCCTCCTTTGGGCATACAATCGAGCAAAAGCCAGACAAATCCTTCAGAACAATTAGACTTCTGCGGTAAACGGTCTAATAACAAAGAAGAAATTTCCATATTTTTCAACAAGGTCACTAGCTAAGCTCTCCAGACTTAAAGGATACCTACACATACCTATAGCAGAAAGGAGATCCCTGAGATTAGCTATCCAGTTTACAAATCAAGTACTTCATTATTAGTTCTAGGTACTACCGTTCGGACTTTCCTATGCACCAAGAGTCCTCACAAAAGTACTGGTAGTGAACACTGCAGTCTTAAGAAAAAAAAAAAGTCTAAATATATTTTCTTATCTTCAAAAGAAAAACTCATTTCAGACATAAAAACTGCAGCAGAGTCTCTTACAGAACGTAGTTGGCTAATCAACAAAGCAAAATCATTACAGATTCAGTTCAAATGAACTTTTATACCGAGTAAAAAACAGAGAAGTTTGTCAGTCAATTCAGAAAATCATAAGAGAGTCCATGAGTCTGTTAGGCCTGTTTACAGAAGCTTTCTCAGCTATTAACTGGGAAAAATCAAGAAAGAGGCCTTTTCGGAAAAACATTCTAAACAGGAACAAAAAAACATCCTCCTTGGACCAGCGAATGGAACTGAACCATACCACACTCCAAAGTTTCCATTGGTGGACAACCTCTATTTTCCTGAATATTGGTCTTTCTTTTCAGACAAAGGCATTCAGGTTCCTGACGACAAGTGCCTCCAGAATGGGCTGGGGTGCACATTAGAGAAAAGGAAAAAGTGAGGAACATGGAATATGCAGGACACAAAAAAGATCATCAAAGGGGAATTAGAAGAAATATGCATGGTCTTCCTCCTCTTTCAAGCCACATCACCTAAATCATAACGTACAGATAAAATCAGACAACAGTAGCGGATGTAAAGCGATAAGGGAGGTACAAGATATTTTCGTCTATGTTCCCAGATTGTGCATTAGTCCAGGATTTATCTTCTTTCTACCTCAACAGTTCACATCAAAGGAGACCACAACACTTTGGCAGATGCTCTAAGCCGGAATCACTTGAAATAAGAGAACTGGTCTCAGCTAAAATGTTCCTGGATATCACAGCAAGATTTGGTATTCCAGCAATATACCTCATGGATACAAAGGTAAACAGAAAAACTCGCAGGTGTCACATCCTGTTCCTGGCTGCGGATAATTCTGGCTATGGCTTCTGGTATCCTGTACTCATTTTACAATTCTTGTTTTGTTTTCCTTGGTTTTTCTGGTTTTCTTTATGCTGGGTTTTCTGGGTTCATTCCTGTATTCCGTTCCTGGAATTCCCAGTCTCTTGGATTCCTTTAAATGTTTGTTTTATGTTGCCACACCCGTTCCTTTTCCATGATTCCTTTTGTTTCAGTTGGTCCCTGCAGGCAGCTGCTCAAGTCTTCTGCCTTTTCTTGCAGGTAAGTGCTATGTGTGTTTTAATGTTGTTCATTTAGCATACATTAGGCAGTGTACGACGTGCCAAATATGGGGTACATTGGCATTGTGGCAGGTCTATGCAATGTATGATCATATAATGTAACTAAATCCCCATAGTTTTTCCACATATAGTACTTAGTTATGTCTCCTCTTGTTTTGCCTATTATATCTTGTCTTGTTTTAGTTTATATTCCCAGTCCATGTACAGTCCTGTCCTGTCCTGTCCTGCCCCTGTTCTGTTAATGTTTCCCTTATGTATTGTGTACATGTTCTGGGTTTAGCTTCCTATCCTTCTCTGGTTCTTGGTTCTACTAATCAGAACTCTTGTTTTCATGTTTGGTGTCTGTCCTAGCCATGCCTTGTTTCTCTGTACTGGATACAATCCTGCTGCAGAGCCTCCCTATTCAGCTCCTGGGTGGTCTGCTTATTTCCATGCTCCTAGTTCCTGGGATCTGCTGAAGCTGCATCAGGGTCCTGGTACGTGGCTGCACAAACACTGGTGCTCAACACTAGGGGGCGTGCGGTTACCCTGCACCAGACCCTGCTAATCCACTTCCACACTGTGACTCCTACTTCAACCTCAGGCATACTGGGTCCTGGTCGTCCGACCGCTGCCCATACAGTGTCTGGGTCCCGGTCACCGGACCGCAACCCTGACAACAGGTTTGCTTCTCTTAGATGCTCTTTCAATTCCTCAGAACTTTTCTCTGGCCTACATATTTTCTCCAGTAATTCTCATCCCTTGGATACTGCAGAAGATC